GGCTTTGAGCGACACACTCTTCTTCCTGATTCCAACCTAGGAAGACAAATGGGATTCTCTCCGGAGAAACCTCAGTTTGCCTTTAAGTCTGATCCCATGAGCTAATTAGGGAAGACTTCACAGCCAGGAACCGGCACACCTGCCGGTGGTTACAAATCGAAGCTTCAAGCCTCTGAGTGTTTTTAACTCCCAAGGGGAGATTTTATTTTGGAAAGAGGAACCGGATACGGCTTGAATTTTTCTGGCTTGGACTGAAATAGATGAAAGTTACCTGGAAAAACACCTGTTCGCCAATGACCGGTAAGCGAGCCGACATCAGTTCCCTGACTGATCGGAGGCGAGCCATCTCCTACCCCAAGGGTGCCTTAAGAAGACATCACCAGGTAAAAGCTGATGTGTTCGGAGTGATGTGTCATGTGGAACCTGAGCTTAGAAAAGACGTGCAGTTCCGSTTGACCYACACTTTGATAAAAGTAAAAGTCGTAGTAACATACTAATCTTACTTTCCTCCTTTCCTTGTTCTTAATTTGCCAAAACTTACGCTAAAAGTACCAGTAAAATTGTTTGGTTGTTAACATCAGAACTGACGTTTTACTGTTATATATAAGTAATCTGAGTTGAAGTGAATTGAAATTCGGACGCAGGTTTTATCTCATTTAACTCTGACGCTTGTTATAGGAATAACCACAATCAGGTGTARCTTATGATCTGTTCAATTTGTGTAAATAAATGATTGCATAGTCTTTTATGAATCAACCCGAACTCGTCTGAACGTTCACTTGTGTCACTTTTCACTTCGCACAGTCAAGATACTAACAAGTAATGAGAAATACCTTGGTAAAAGTTTCCTCATAACCTTGAGTACGAGAGATGTGGGAAAAGCTTAATTCACTTTAAGCTCACTCCTACAATACCTCATGAACAAGTGGACAGATTCTAATGAAAATTTCCCAAGTCATCACTAGAGGTACATCTACAAATGATTAACTTTAGAACCAAACCAAATTCAAGATGGCCGCCACAACTAATCAACATTAGCCACCACAAAAATTGCTGTAACTCAGGCAATTTTACAGACGCTGACCTAAAATCTGGTTGTGGCTGAAGTAGTTTCTTACACAAAGTGTTACCTGATTATGTTTAACATCATTTACAAGACCTGACCATGACACTCACAACTCTGTTTCTCATCATGTTGGTTTAAACCTTTGCTATGAAAAGCAGTAGGCGATCCTTTAAGGAATGCTAGGTCTTTAGTCAGTTCCAGCACCAGGTCAAATGCATTTATCAAGAACATTACTGTATGTCAGAAAAAAAACTGAAACCACAGAAAAAATAAAATAAAAAAGGACGGAGCGGCCCCTGGTTATTACAACAGTTAATTAGCCCAGATTCATTTGGTGCTAATTAAACCAAAATAATAATTTGAAGAAAACCTGAACAATGAGTCCATTAATTAAATGATTAATTAACCTGTCACTGAATTAATCAAAGTGGCAGCAGAGATCCAAACCCAGCTCCTTCCATGACTTTTAACCCTTTCGTTTTTTCACGGCTGCTGTCAGTTTAGCAGCTTCTCTGAGGCCCTCAGGAACCAGAATGAGGCAGGCAGATATTTCAGGAAGATGAGCGACCCCCTCAGGTGTTTGATTTCTGTCCTTCCATCACCATCCACACTTTGAGCAGGATTCAAAACGCTCCTCAGCACATCCTGACCTGAGTTCATGCCTAATGTGTTTTGCAATTAGGGACGTTTCTACGGGTCGTTTAAGGATAACCTCATCTGACCATCATGCAGTAAATGTGTCAGTGTGCAGCAGGAAGATGAGATTAGTTTTAACCTAAGGAGCAGAGTTAGAATGTTTTTGCCTGTGCCTGTGTGTTTGCTTGTACAGTTTGTAAATATATATTTTTATTATTATTATTAAACCTTTGTTTTACCGGGTAGATCTCATTGGCATTTAGGGCTGTCACAAATGATTATTTTTATAATCGATTAATCACAGATTATTTTTTCGATTAGTCGGCTAATCAGATCATACGTTAATTGAACATAAAACAAACAGCT